CTTCACATGCGAACCTATGTCACTTCACGAAATAATTGCCTCAACCTGCGCCTGAATAAATGTCTTCGTCTTACGCCGGTCTAAATTAAGCGTGTTGTCAGGACGTACTAATCTGTCGCATCATTAGGAGGCGCGCTCGGGTAGGTGGGAAAATAATGGCCTCGGGTAATCCTCATTGTCGTAGTCGTCATCAGTAGGCGCTGTAGTTTTTCATCTAGACAAGATGACTGGCTACCGCGGCGCTAAATGCGGGCACAGAGATTACTGCCAATGTGACATCATGGCGTTAATAATGTGTCAAGACCAATGTCTTAGGCTGATAGATGCTATAAGAACACTCGAAATCGGTAGTAATCGACAAGGCTGCCGACACGTCCTAGATCTAGTGACACATTTATGGTGCAATCGTCTACTTCTAAACCTACGTTATTTCACTTATATTTTGCATTAACTCTAACATGGACTCCGCTTAGGCCACAACAAGCAGATCTTAGGCTCAATCCACACATCCACGGTATCTATCAATCACCGTCAGCAAACGGTTGTTCCCCACAAGATATAACTCATATATGTTGCATTTGCCTCTCGCATGCTAACTGACTTTTATGGAATTCACTTTGTGAACCTTGTGTTTGAGCGATTTTGTCTTCGCTCATCTTGATGTTCGGCTAACATGCGAGGCAATCAAGTTGGTGTAATCTATGTGCTTGGCTTTATTGTTACCACTGCTTATCTCCGCTTGCATAACCCTTCATTGAATCGTGTTGGATTACGGCTAATAACGTTGATGTTGCACGTTCCATCTTTATCACAACATCGGTCAGCCAGGCTGCAAAAAGTTGACCATAATTAAAACTCTTTGTTTTACGTTCGACGTCATGAAAACGAACAGAATTGCAAGGTAAAGTCAGCGTTGGATCTGCGAACACGACTGGGACGGATATGGCAAGTACGTTAGCGTTTGTGGTAGATTGACATCAATTGGTAGCATCGTTTCTAGGAGTAGATGGCGAGATATTTGTAGCTCGGAAATCAGTCAAATGAAGGCGAGTAGTAGAAGAAGACGATGAGTATGTAAATGTGTTATTAGCATCATCGGCTTTACACGACAGACCTGACACATTATTAACGCATTGATGCCACATTGGTGCTAAACTTCACACCGGCTTTGAGCCATGCTCTCACCTCCAGACACGTCAACGCCCCGACTTGATGAAACCATTTTATTTTTGACCAATTTGATCGTTGAGCGTCGAATTTTTCACAACTCTCTCCTCTGTTAACCATGAGCGACCCTATTCTGCAAATATCTCTTTGGAAAACAGCATCTCAGTCAACTTCCACCCGTGCATTCCCGACGCCCAATTTTGGTTTGTGCTATTTGAGGCCTGTTTTCTCAAGCAGATGACCACATCCTAGTTCTCCAAATATTTACATTTTTTTGCATAGCTACCGAAATATGTTGCTAGGGCAGTTATCGACTTGCTTGGAACAATGCCTTCTGAAAACCTCCATGGAAATTTGAATGATGCTGCCCTCACACGATTGATCAGCTTGAACGAGGCCAGTAATCGACGCGTACTTTCTGGTATCGAACTGGTTGACAGGTCTCCTTCTCAACTCCTTCGGTATACAAGCCACTTATCTGGGAATATCAAGGTTAACGAATCCGTTCTACGCCAATCGAGTACTAAAACGTTCTTAACACGCATGAACTCAATTACCTCGTTCTACGCCAATCGTGTAACGGGCTGTTAATTAGAGGGCTGTAATGTAGTGCTAAACTCAGCTACTACAAACTCTAACTTGGACAATCTCTATGCCACAACAAGCAGATCTTAGGAGCGACCCACTCATCCATGGTATCTTGCAGTCACCGTCAGCAAGTTGAGGTTCATTTCGCTTTTACACATCGCGTGCTAAATGACTTTCAAGTAATTCACTTTGTAAGCCTTGTGTTTATGCGATTTTATCTTCTGTGACTTTGGTGTTCACCTACCACGAGTGAAAACAAAAATCTCGTTGGTGTAACCTGGAACTACGACGAATGCTGCCTGCAATCAAGGTTAAGTCACCACTATGATACCGCTGTAGGTGTGCTTAACCGAAGCATTTTGGCACTCCTCAGAGCCAGGAACCTTCTCGGACGGACAGCTGTGTAAGTTTGTGTCCGGCGTATCCCACAGAGGCATATCACACTCCTCACTTATACTTCACCCAAAGAAAGATTCTGCATGCAAATGATACCCTCCGCTCGAAATGCCAATAACTGCAATTAAAACGTAAGACGGTGAGAATAGGTACCTAAGAAGGTGGTCAAAATTGACATCACCCAGATAAGTATGTGAGGGCGATACGAAAAAGAAACAAATGGAATTGATTTGTTGGAAGAACTGGGAGGACGGGAGGTGTGGACTTAACTGTAATGCGATGAGAGTTGAGGCCAAAATGTGTGTCCGTCTCAATGTTAATAATCGTCAAATGCGTAGGAATCGGGAATAGGAGGTGAGAAGATAGACGAGCTATGGCATTTTGACGATGTATTGGTTGAATTGGGTCGTGAGGAGCAGGAGGAGGAGGTCGACATTCACCGTGATTTCCTTGAAGAAGGGCTAGTCCTGAATCCTGTGGAGGTCCTACGTTTAGAAGGCTCTCGTGATGAACGCATATTATTACATGTGATGTTTTTCGTAAATCGAGAGGAGATCATAGGTATGTTAGTGTTCGTTATCACTAAAGAGGTCGTTGACATTGGAGAATGGGTTGCCGTGATGTCAGATTGACTGGTCTGGCCTGTAACTAGACGTGAGTATTTTGCATGGCGACTGATGATATCAGCTCCGTGAAATTGCAGTTCCAAACCAACCTGGGACAGAATCTGGCTGGAACAGTGGTTGCCTTATGCATATTCCTCCTACATTTGTAGAAGGTTTATTCTGACGACTGTAAATGTCGGGGTCACCAAAGAATAAATAAATGAGACGCACGAGAATGTCATGCTTACGGCGTGTTAGTGGATATATTAGGGGAAAGATTGACACAACATGAATCACAACTGGGGCAAGGAACCGGTGATGCGACACAGCTGTTCTTGGTGTCTGTAACCTACCCGTTCTGATGACGCAACAAGTGTATTAGTTTGTGAACCGACGCTGTAAAATCCTTATCAAACAAATAGGTTATAACTAGCAGCTATTTTTGTATCTATTGGGTACAACGATAGATAGCGATTGTGCCGCCTCCATCTGATCTCTTCCCGGTCGTCTGCGAAGGATTGATGGGACCGTCACTCAGCGTGCGGACACGCATGTCTGTTATGCAAGCCGACTATTGTACTTTTACACGTGCTCCCCTCTCTTATTGGCCTGTTGCCTTGAGTGACGACAGCCGACACGTCAGCCTGCATCCTGTAAATCTTTTCACATCATTTCTGACGCCACCTCAAACAGCTCCATCAACGGCAAATTGGTTCAATTTCGTGAAATTACTGCATAATTCCGAGAATTCGAGCACGCAAGTAGACCAGTGGCAGAGGCATTTAAAGCCCCCAAGAGGACTTATTGAAGGTGTGCTTTTGTCACTGGCAGTAAGTCGATGTATGTCTTTGGCTGGTGACAGAACAGTTTGCGTTTCGTTTTATGAGACAATGTGTGTTTGCGATATCAATAGGTAACGACGACCAATGCAGTTGTTAAACCCTTTACCACATCACGTAATCCAGGCACGAAATAAGTCCGGAAATGGCAGGCACGGCCGTTTACTAGATAGCTCAGCAAGATCGTGTCGTGGACTTTTGCAGTTGAGTGGTATGCAAAGTGAAACACGGGCGTCTGTGAGGCCACATGACCGAAGCGGGGGGTGGTGCTGGCACACGCAGAGTGGTTAATGAGCCAGCGGCGTCACGTGACCGACGGCACGTCGTGCATTAAGGCGGACGTATGTTGGGAGC